GGTGTGAGTTAGGCCCAATGCTTATTTTTAAAAATACCTTCTAAAAAGTCTATGGTATCTTAGCTTGTATTTGATAAATTCACTATATATGTTTATTTTCATTCGTTCACAATCTTTTTTACTCTTATTGCATGTTAATCTGTTAATATTAGTTCTTGGTGCATTATACATTTTTTTTACACATAATCATCACAAATACCCACTCATAACTGTTATTAGAAGGACTTTTACTTAACACAGAGAAAAACTAATGATCATTTTTCCTTGAAACAGTATGGAACAGATTCTTGAACGATATGAGAGATACTCATACACAGAGAGACGTTTGCTTGCAAGTAATTCTGAATCTTCGGTATGACCAAAAAAAATATTTAAACTAAATACAAGGTATATAATATTAAGGGAAAAGGATCAAGTTTACCCCTCTACTTTCAAAAATAGTTTATATTTAACCTCAGTTATGCTTTCCCAACAAAAAATACTCCTACCCTCACACAAAGTTGGCAAAATTGCCCCTTCATCTATAAAATCCTTCCACCATGGCAGCCAACATCCCACGTAGCATGCCACATGGCATCATCTCACCCAAATGTTATGCCACGTGGGATGTTGTTGGCCATGCTGGATCGGTTAACGGACATAGGGGCAGTTGGTATTTTGGTTCGCAGACTATTTTTGAAAGTAGAGGGGTAAAGTTTGACCCTTTTCCCTAGTATTAATGTTCCATTTTCATCTTAAAGTTGATGTTTTGGTATTTGTATAATACAGGTGCAGGAAAACTGGAGCCTGGAATATGCTAAACTCAAGGCTAAGATTGATCTCCTACAAAGGAACCACAAGTAAAATATGATTGCTTAATTCTATTGCAGCACAAATATACTATTCTTGTTTCCACCTTCAATTTGAACAGACTCAGTTTTCATATTCAATTTTTTAAAATTATTTTCAGGCATTATATGGGAGAAGATCTTGACTCATTGAACCTAAAGGACCTGCAAAACTTGGAACAACAACTTGATACTTCTCTTAAGCTTATTCGATCAAGAAAGGCATGCCATAATCCTTCCTTTTTTCCTTTTTTTTTTAGTTATTCGATCAGTGTTCTTTTCTAGTAGAGACGCATTCAGGATTTAGACTTGATTGTTTTTTTTCCTTTTACTGTTTTCTTTGTCTTGGACCGTCAGGAATTGAGTCCTTAACTATTGTAGGTCAAGTAAAGCTGACCATAACAAAAGTGAAAGCTCATTCCTTCCATTACCATCTGCCTTTTTGAAAAAAGCCAAAGTACATTCTTTTAAGCTAGCACGCATCTTTACTATTCTACTGGGTAACCTAGGCAGAAACAGACCGAGGATTTGAAGTTATGGACTTCTGAATTCTAACTCTTCGGAGTTATTGGTTTCTAAATTTATAATTTGTACATATTAAATGAATTTTTTAAAACAAATACAAGATTCGGCCAAACAACTTAGCTCTGCCGAACTTGTATTGTAAACAGTACATTCGCCCTTGAGCACATGTATCTGTAACTCTGTCTACCAAGGTTTGGTTAGATGAGAAGAGATAACCCAGCATTTTTTGTCTCAGCTACAATTAGAACCCCGATCTTCCATAGTTTTCACTCACTTCATTAACGACTGAATCACACATTCGCCCATGCTTTTCTTTCATTCAAAATTTGATATTTTTTGTGACTTCAGATGTTTGTGTGTTGCAGAACCAACTCATGCATGAGTCAATCTCTATGCTACAGAAAAAGGTAATTATATGCATGCCAAGTTTAATTACTACTACTAATTATTAAGTACTGTAATCTTGGTTAAATGCCTTGAGTGTAATATTTTATACTTTCATAGGAAAAGGCAATCCAGGAGGAGAATAACATGCTATCCAAGAAGGTGAGTTTGTCTCTTGTTATTTATTCTAAGTTTTTCAGAAATTAGCAAAGCTTTCAACAGTAAACCATAACTTAGCACTTCATATATCTTAGAAAATTTGTTAAATATCATAGACATTGTATTAATAGGTTATGTTCATTTTTTCTAATTCCTTTGCTTCTTAACAGATTAAGGAGAAGGATAACACAGTAGGGCAGCAAGTTGAATGGCATCAGCAAAATCAAGTTCCTACTTCAACATCTTTCCTCCTACAACCACATCCATGCCTAAATATTGGGTAATTGTTGTCCTCTATAACAAGATAAATAAACAAAACCAACATAGTTACTAGTACTATTTTTGAAAGCATGGGATCTTTACACAAATAGTCGGCAGATTCATTGTTTGTTTTTTCTAGCCGACAGTGTTGTCAAAGGCACCTTAAATCACGCTTAAGCCTTAAGGTGAGGCGCAAAATATGGGGAGCGCTTTACCTCGCCTAGCGGGCGTGTCAATGCATCATCAAGGCTCTATGGCATACTTTTTCCAAATTTTGTAACCATATATTTTTTATTCATGAATATGATTATTAGTCTTGGACTACACGTTTATATTTTTATTTTCTCTCTTTTTGCGCCTTTCTTCATCAAAGCCCCACATTTATTTGCGGTTAAAGCCTCAATGGACCATAGAGCTTTTTTCCGCTTTTTGCTTTTGATAACACTGGTAGCTAGTATACATAAATTATAATTGATTATTCATGGTTATACACATATTCTATATGAATTATAGATTCGCTGGTTATTTTAAGTTTAAGCAGTTGGATGGCTGGCTATTTAGGTTAATTCTTTAATATTTTATTTTCATTGTTCAGCATCTTACTGAGATTTTGAATTGCTAAGTAGCTTTTGTTTACAAAGTTGGTTAAGCACTACTTGTTTGATTGTTTCATTAATTTGGTGATGGTAATTGTTGATTAATTAGAGGTAATTACCAAGAGGAAGCAGAAGAAGCAAGGAGGAATGAGCTTGACCTAAATCTTGATTCCTTGTATCCATGCCATATGGGATGCTTTGCCACATGAATAAACAACTTTATATGTTGCATCTGAAGGAATGTCCTTTTGCTGGAGTTCAAGTTTTCCAATTCTGTGTTCTCGTCTGCTTTATGTGGAGGAAAATAAGATTTTAAGCCTTGTCTTGGGAAATTCTTAATATTGTGTGTCTTTATATTGATATATATATAGGACCTTATTGTCTTTCTTTTTATATGGTGAAGAATGTTAATTTCCTAACCTTCATAAATGGAAGAGGAGGTCCATTTGTTGGCATCTGTTTACATTTTTGCCTTACAATTATTGTCAATACAATTATGTATTTTTCTTTGAGTTCAATACAATGTTATGCCCAAACACTGATTTGCTCAAGGTCATTGGGAGGGCTACTTGCAAATCTGTATTCTCATGAGAAATGTTTCATTCAGCACCTTCTAATTGCTAAAAAATTTTGATATCCTCTAGTGATATTGACTGCTTTGGGTCTAGACCAGTACGGTTTTAAAATACGTCACCAGGATCTAAGGCTTGTTTACTTGTATACCAAGTATCTTTCTCGTGTTTTGTCGATATAGGAATTGCCTAGGGAC